ATTATTATTATTATTATTATTATTATTATTATTATTCTTTTATTTTATTTTTATCTTATAAGGTAAGGCTCATTGATCTTGAATACTATAGAAAACTGATTATTTTTCTTTTTGATTATGATGTTAACTGATAAATCGACTTTGTTTCTATCTCAAATTTACTTTTTTAATTTTGTTTCATAATAAATAGTTCAAAAGACGCAATAATACACCTAGAAAATAGCATGAGAAAGCTATTACTGTCATAAAACACACTAATATAATGTTAGAATATTTATAAAAATTAAAATATAACAAAATGTAGTTAAAATTGTAAAGAGTGAAATTGAGATAAAAACAAATTTGATAATTTTTCATAAGAATCAACGTAAAAGGAAAATTCATTTTTTCATTAGCATTTAAGATCCATGGGTTTTACCTTATACGATAAAAATAACTTATAAAATTAAAATTAAAATATTATTTCATAATAAAAGCATAATACAATTAGAAAATAGCAAGAGAAAGCTAGAAAGATAATAACATAAATAAATAAGTTATAGGCAATCAAAATAAAAAATAAAGAAAATAATAATAATAATAATAATGACGATGATGATGATGATGATGATTAAGATGATGATGATGATGATGATGATGGTGATGATGATGATGATGATGATGATGATGATGATGATGATGATGATGATGATAATAGTAATAATTAGTATTAGTTTATTACTATGTCCAAGTTTATAATAAAAAAATTAGAACTATTCAAGAATGTGAATCTTTAGTTGTTTCAATCTAATTGAGTTTCACGACCTGTGAGAGAGAGATCAAACTACTTATTTTATATATGTAAAAAAATCATATTACAATTTGAAAAATATATGTAATAGAGATAGAGACAGACACACCTTCTACTTTTCTCTTGGGAAAATATTTCCAAGCTAAAAAGTCCTTGTGAGAGATCAATAAAGAAATGAACTTGAGAGAGAGACAAATAAATATATTGTTTTCTCATAGGTTAAGATGTGGCGTGATAGGCTTTTGGGCTTGGGTGTGAGGGTTTGCAGTGAGAGAGGATGGAAGAGGTTTTTCTTGAGAAGATATTTTGGGAAGGAGAGAGAGAGATTGAAAGT